ATGAGGGGTTTTGTGATAATGAGGGTGATTTTGGAGACATGCTAATGTTGGTTGCAATTATCATTTGTTCTCTTGCAGTTAATCTTGGTGTAGTTGGAATTGATGTTTGTGATAAAAGTGGTGACTCTAAATATTCATTTAATGCTGGTGTTGTTGTTGTTGTATTTATAGAACCAGCAGGCTTTTTTGCAACTCTTCCAGCTCTACCTTTTGGTGTTAATATTGGTGAATTTACAACATTATTGCTTTGACTGGTGCTCGAATTTATACCTAAAAAGTTGGTTGCTGCTTTATCAGATGCTAAATAGTTCATTGGATCGAATGGAGTTGATTTTCTACCACGTTTCTTTGTTTGCGACTCTAATAGCATTTGTTTAAGGTTTAAAGTTTTTTTATTGTTGTAATAGAAAACGATCATTTCTTCGGTGGTTCTATTTTCAAAGAATGAGGCTATTTTGGAGAACTTTTTTGGATATTGAAGGTATTTCTTTACAAATTTCTGTTTTTCTTCATCGGTCCAAACAATGAGGGATTTTCTTTGTTTTTCAGAGGCAATAGGATCAACTATAAAGCCATTAAAGTTATAATAGTGTATATTTCTTTCGTATGGTGAGAGCATTGGTGGAATAGTAGCCATCATTTGTTGATATCTACCAAGTGGGTCTTCTTGAGCATCCTGCTTATTGAGTTGCTGTATAACATTGAATAGTTCATCATCTGGCACTATATCTGAAATATTGCTACGACGAGTCAAAACATTTCTTGAGGTTGAAGTATTGGTTCTTAAATCTGGACGAGTGGAGGTACCAGATTTTCTTTGTTTTTGTTGTAAAGCTTGTTGTTGTAATTGTAATTGCTTTTGTTCTTGTTGTTGTTGCTCTAAATCATACTTTTCATCTAATTTATCGAGTTTCTTTTTGAATGTGCTAATTGCAGAGTTGTACATTTTGACCTGTTTATCGTTATATCTCTTTAGTTGTTTTTGTCTCTTTCGTAGAATTTTTTTCATGTTGCCTTTAATATCTTCGTGCTCTTTCATATTTTCATAATATATAGGGAAATCTGTTACATCGCTACAAATCATCTCTCTTATAGGCATAGAGTCAGAGTGGTCTCTATTTTTTTCGTTGGTTTTTACATTTATGTTGTTGTTGGTTGGATCAAACACCTTGAAACATTTTTGAAAAAATATTTTAGAGTGTGAAAATTTCGCTAAATCTCTATTCTCTTCGTAGATGTCTTGTTCAGCATCGCCAAAAATTTGTTTGATTGTTGGTACAATTTGTTGTTTTTGTTTTTCTTTTTTCTCTTGTTGTAATTGTTTTCTCTTTAATTCTTTTTTTTCTTTTTCTTGTTGCTCTAATTCCTCTTCTTGTTGTTTTATTTCTCTTTCTTTTATTTTTTGGTTCAATCCTTCTTCTTTGGATTTATATTTTTCTAATTTTTCATTAATTTTATTCAATTGATTTTTTGCAATTTCAATTTCATTTTCATATTGTGTCATTGATGCTTCATGTGATTGAATTAATGAGTTTTTTTGATTCTGGAATTGTTGTTGTTGCTGATATTGCTGTTGTTGATATTGTTGTTGTTGATTTTGATGTTCCTGATATTGTTGTTGTTGTTGTTGTTGTTGTTGCTGTTGGTTATAATATTGTTGTTGGTTACCATAATCGCTGGTACTTGTTAAAGGTGGTGATTTTTGTAAATTTGACATCAATGACGGCCCTCCTGAGTGATTATTACGAAACTGGGGTATTGTTGGTGAGACTGGCTGGATTTGTGGTGATGATAATGAAAGAGATGGCATTAAATTAGTAGTGGAGTCTAATGTTAGGTTAACTTCTGGTATGGTTGGTGATGATGAAGGTTGGTTTAATATTGGAGAACTGTGGTTTTCATTATTATAATTAATATTTTCATTAATTATTTCTGTTGATTTTGGTTTTGACTCTGAGTTTTCTTCATTAGTTGATTGTTCATTTGTTTGTTGTTCTTGTTCATTAGTTTGTTCACTTTGTTCACTCTGTTGTTCATTTGATTGATTTGGATCTTTAGCTACTGATGCCAAACCTTTACCCCAACCGAAAAATAAGGGATTCATAGATTTTGATTGTGGATCTGTTTTATTGGTCGATTCATTATCAATTGATTGTGGGTTATCAGTTGATTTATCATTATTGTTTAAATTTAAACTTTCCATTTTAATATTGGAATTTTCTTTATTAACACTTGGTGTATTCGGATTTGAAGTGATTAGAGATGAGTTGGCTAGTTGGTTAATTGCAACTTCTAACATTGGTGTTACTGGTAGTTTGGGTGTATTGATATTTGTAGAGTTTGTGGTATTTTCATTAATATTACTATTGTTAATCGTATTCATATTATTACTATTATAAGATTCATTTTTTTCGGTACTATTATCTTTAAAACCCCCACTACTATTTAAACTACTATTACTATTGCTTCTTTCTAAATGTGGGGGTGAGTTTGATTGTGAGAGTCTATTTTTATTATAATATTGATTTCTCGAGGGCGATAGGCTTTGTTGTCTATGTAAATTTGGAGAGGGTGATCTTGATCTATTATAATTTCTTTTATTATATTGTTGTTGTTGTTGTTGCTGTTGTTGCTGTTGTTGCTGTTGATAAGGCATGTGTTTATCTATGGTATACATTAAATATTTATTAATATATATTTATAAAAAAAAACTATTTCAAAAGAACTTACCTTCAAAGTCTTCATCATCTTGTTTTCTCCTTTTTAATGGTGAGTCTGAAACCTCCCAATCAACTTTGGTCTTTCTTTCCCGACTATTTGTTGAATTATAGTTGTTGTTATTGTTATTATTATTATTATTATTATTAAAATTTTCATCACCAATAAATGTTTCTCTTTCTCTATCGCGATCTCTATAGCTATTGTTATTATTTGTTCTTGAGCTATCATCTCTTATTCTCTCTCTATCGATACCTCTGTTATTATTTCTATTAAAATTATTGTTTCTATAATTATTATTTACATAGTTGCTGCCTCTATTTTCTCTATAATCCCTTTAAATTATTAAAATTTTATTAATTTATAAGATTTTAAAATGTTTATATTATTAAATATTTAAAATCATACCTATTATTATTATACCTTTGAATATTATTATTTCTATCATAATAGTTGTTATTATTTTTATAATAATTATTATTGTTATTCATTTCATTGTTATTATGGTTATTATAATTATTGTAGTTATTATTATTGTTATTATTGTTATTATTATTATTGCTATTATTGTTATTATTATTATTATTATCTTCTTTTTGCATTTTTTTATTCGTTAAATATAGGTTTTAAAATTTATTAAAATAAAAAAATCTTTATTATTTTAATTAAAAAAAAAAATTTTAACCAATCGTTTTAATTCATTGTAAATTGTTATAATTTATTGTTATTTAAATACTATTATTCTATCATATATTTCTAAAGTTTTATATATATAAACAATTTATTAAATATCACAGTTATAATTTGAATATAAAAAAAAAATTTAAATTTTTTAAAAATTTGAAAAATTTTTATTTTTTATTTTTTTAAAAAAAAAAAATAAAAAAAAAAATAAAAAAAAAATTAAATAATTCCATATTTAAATGTTAAATTAAAAATATATTTGTTTTTATTATCAACTTTTTTATTATCGTTTAAAAAAAAAAAAAACATTTATTCCATATTAACTAAATTTGGAATGATACCCATAAAAATATCAATACCTCTGATAAAAACTTTTTCATTTAAAAATTCGTTGTGGTCATGTAAGAGAATTGGGGTGTTGTTGATTGGTGAGAAACCAAATGCTGGAATACCTAAATTACGAATGAAACGTGAATCTGTAGCAGCTGGGAAAATTTCAGTTACAAGGTTGATATCTAAAGCTTTTGCAGAAGCTTTGAAATTTTCCCACCATTTGTTGTCTGAATCTAATTTGGTCATTTCGTTTTTATCAATATAGCTTGCAAATTTAAAAGATAAACCTTCTTCAGCGGTCCAGTCTTTTAATTGTTGTAAAAATTCTTCAAGGTTGACAGTTGGTGGGATACGAATATCGAAACCTGCTTCAGCTTGAGTTGGTACTACATTGTAGCTATAGTTGTTGCTGTGATCTTGAGGAATACCAGCTTTTAATACAGTTAAGTTTAATGATGTGACGTCACCTAATTTTTTACCACATTCATGATCGCATTTATGAAGTTTTTCAGATTGTTCTTGTCTGAATGCTAACATTTTATTGACGGTTCTCATTAATTTTTCGACAGCGGTGCCTTCGATGAATCTTGAACCATGACCAGCATTACCTACAGCTGTAATATGTACCCACCATGGAGCTCTTTCACCATAGAAAACAGTGAAATCTTCAGTTGGTGATGCTAAACCTTCATCTAAACAGAGACCAACATTTAATTGTTTGAATTTTTCAGTGTATACAAAGATTTCCATACCCTTTCCAGTGCCACCAATTTCTTCGTCTGGTACAAAGGTTAAATAAAGATTTCTCTTTAACTTTTTGCCGCTCTTGGCGATACGGTGTGCAACTTCGAGGAATTGAATGCAAACACATTTCATATCTTGTGTACCTCTAGCATAAATGTCACCTTTTTCATCTTTGGTTGCTGCAAATGGATTGACCTTCCATGATTCGGTAACTGCTGGTACAACATCGACATGTGAATTTAATAAAACTGATTTTAAAGTTTGGTCCTCACCTTCAATTTTCATAATAACAATTGGTAAACCTGTTTCCTAATTTTAAAAAATAATTAAATATTAATTTCTATAAATTTTTGTTGTTGTTGTTGTCATTGTTTCTGCTTGTATAAATCTAAATATTTCTATTTTTGAATTTATATGTATATTTGAAATTAGTTCTGCTTACTCTATAAACTTCATATTGAATACCATATTCTTCTGCTTTTTTAACTAAAAATTTAGTTGAGGATTCATAATCTGGAGTTGGATGGTCAGTTCTAATTTGTAAAAATTCTCTAAAAATACTAACAGTTGGATGTTCTTAATTTTTTTATTTTTTATTTATGTTTGAAAAAAATTAAACACTATTAATAATTTATTTATATTTTAAAAAACTTTTTATTATATTATTTCTTTTATACCTTCTTGTGGGTTCATTTCTTTATATGTAATTGTGGAAAAATAATAAAAATAATAAAAAAAAAAAAAAAAAAAATTATAAATATTTTAAAAAAAATTAAATTAAAAAAAAAAAAAAATTAAAAAAAAAATTAAAATAATATAAAATTATAAAAAAAAAATCTTATTTTTAAAAAAGAAAATTCTTTATTTGAAAAAACCAGAAAAAGATATATACATCTATTTAATATAAATATTAAATTTTTTTTTACACAAAAACCATAAAAAGAGATTGAAAAAGCTTTGTTTAAAAGAAACTCCAGATACCCTCTGCAACCATCATAGAGCCCTTTATAATCATTTTATAGCTGCTTTTAGAAACATTATTCTTATCTTGGCTTTGCAAGGAACCAGAGTAGTTTGAATTATTTGTAGATGACAAAGAATTTTTGTTTACTTGACCAAGATTTGAAATTGATTCTAATTTTAAAAAAAAAAAACAATTAGAGGTTTTTAAAAATTATAATAAACAATAACCCAAACATACTGAATAACATCTTTAAAATTGCTTTTTTATTTGTTTCTTGAATAAAACAACTGCTTTTAATTCAATTATTTTCTTCTGGTATTTATGCGCTCTCAAAAAAAAAAAAAAATTAAAAAAAAATTAAATTAAATTAAAAAAAAAAAATAATAAAAAATACTAATTTAGATATACAAATATAATTAAAAATAAACACACTGTGTCTTTATAATAGATTATTAAAAATGTCAGTCATTATCCTTGAAGGAATTAACCAAGCACTTAAAGAGGGGTTGGGTGTTTCGTAGTTATTTTTTTTTTTTTTTTTTTTTTTATTTAAATTTTCAACATATTTACAATAATATTTATTTTAGTCACCCCCAAAATAATTAAGTTTAACTATATCTCCCTGTATACATTATATTATTATTATAATTGGGGTCAAATTGATAAGTTGTTAAAAATGGAATGTTTGAGTTTAATTGGGCGATATCGAATTCTCCAATATTTAATTTACACAATATATATATAATTATATTTAATTTCAATTTTTTTTATTTATTATTATTATATATACAAAATAGGAAAAAATTTAATTTTGTTTTTCTTTGGTAATGAAAAAAGAAATTAAAAATATATACCTTTTTAAATGATGTAATGATTGATTAATTTTTTAAAAACTGTTAAGTTAAAAATATATCTAGTAGACTAGACAAGAAAGGCAATAGATTGATTCTCAAAAATTTAATAAAATAGGGTATACTCTAAATATATTTTTAATATTGTCCATTGACACCAAAAGTTATCAATGATTTTTTAAAACATTTTTTTGAGTGGTTAAATTATTTAAATATAATTTAAATTATTTTTTTTGTATTTATTATATAATCACGATGCATAAAACAACAACTCACTTGAATATTTAAGATAAATTATAAATTGAGAAAGGGGTAATCTATTATGAATATTTTTTTTTTATATTGTTTTCTTTATTTAAATTGTTTTTTTTTTTATTTTTATTTTTTATTATTTTTTTTTTGTGGGTGGGTTAATCATGAGTAACTCTATATGGAATGAGATTATAATTAAATTTATATTGAAAAAAAAAATGTGATTTAAATTACACTTAATTTAAATATTAACTTTAATTAAAGTTAAACTTTTTAAAGCCATATTATTTTTAATATAGCTTTTATATATAATTATTTTATATATTTTAATAAATTTTTATATAAAAATATATAAAAATGATATATAAAGATTTTATATTTTCTGTAAAATTAATAGCTTTAATTGGTTCTATATTATGTATGTTAACTTTTTATATAACGATACATTTAATATATAAACATTTAAAATACTATGTATCACCCAATCATCAAAGATATATAATTAGAATCCTTTTGATGATACCCCTATACTCTATTTTAACGCTATTGTCAATTTATAAAGTTGAATTAGAAATCTATTTGGCATTCATAAGAGATTGGTAAATAAAATTTTAATATAGTAAACTAATCTTAATATACTAACCTTTGATTTTATCTAGTTACGAATCTTATGTAATATACTGTTTTTTTGCACTATTAATAAATTACGTAGGTGATAAAAATATAGTTATTCATTTAGAAACCCATGAACCCATTTATTTACTACCAAAAAAAATATTTAGAAATATTTTTGAATATAAACCCAACGAGTAAGTATCCATATAGTTTTAATTATCTATATTTTCTAACATTTGATCTTTTTATATGCAGAAAAACATTGCAGTATCTTAGAATTGGTATTTTACAATATGTAATTGTAAAACCTTTATTAACTGTAATAAATATATTTTTAACAATATATAATTATGAAGGTGATGGTTTTTTGCAGTTTAAAAGATTTTATCCATACCAAGCCGCACTTGGTACCCTTTCGGTATCTCTTTCCCTGTACTTTCTTTCTATGTTTCTAAAAATTATGCATGATGAGATTAAACCCTATCACCCAGTTTTAAAATTCCTTTCGGTTAAAGTTGTAGTCGCTTTATGTTTTTGGCAAATATATGGAATTAAAATATTTAATTATTTTTTTCCTATTGCTTTAATTGGGAATATAGAGCATCATAAAGATAATATTATCTTTATTAATGTAACTATTTTAAAAATTTAAAACTATTTTTAAAACTACTAATTATTTTTTTATTTTTAGAATTGTTTTATATTAGTGGAAATGTTTTTATGCTCCATATTACACAACTATGCATACCCATATGAACTATATAGAGTAGAGGATTTCTTTTTAATAAGAAATATGAATAGTGATAATAAAAATTTAAAAAATACTAACAAAAATATTTTAAAAGCATCAATATTTAAAAACTTTATAGATTCTTTAAACCAGAAAGATATGATTGCAGAAACCATCAAATCAATCAAAGGAACAGAAATTTATAATAAAGAAATAAATTCAAAAGAGAATATTATAAATGATAATGACGATTTTATCATAGGAGCTGTTATAGAGGTGGGTGAATTTCAATCGTTCGAAACCAACGGGGACATCAATTTAAATGTGGAAATGTTATCGACATTAGCCACCGAAGAAAATGAACTGATTTCAGACGATTTCTTCCTTTCATTCATTAAACAAAACAGTGCCAGTAATAATAACCATCTCGATGATCTATATATAAACAATAAAAATAATGACGGTGATCATATGGTTAAGATTAAAAGGTAAAAAATAAAATTTAAATAACACACACCCAATTTGGGTTTTTTTTTAATTTTTAATATATATTTTTTTTTTTTTTTTTTTGCAAATTAAAAAATTTTATTTTTTTATTTTTTTTTGATTAATTTTATTTCATTTTAATTTTTTTAATTTAACAAATAATGGATAAATTAATAATTGTTAAACATTCAGAAAATAAAAATTATTATAGTAATAATCAAAATGGCTTATATGTAAAAAACCCATTTTGTTATATTAAAGTTTTCAGTTATGATGATATTAGAAACGCTTTAAAATATGCAAAATCAATTAATAAAGGTGTGTCAATAAGAAATAGTGGGCATAGCTGCATAAACGAATCTATACAAGATGATTCGGTCAATATAGACATGAGCGAGCTAAATAGAGTTTTAGAGTTTAATATAGATAAAGCAAAAATCAAGTGTAATAGTGCAGTAAAATATTTCGATTTTTATAAAATAGTAACAGAAAAAGGATTAGCATGTCCAGGAGGTGGATGTGGCGATGTGTGTGTTGGTGGTCTTGTATTGGGCGGTGGAAGTAATTATTTAGCACCAAAATGGGGAACTGCAAGTGATTGTGTATTGGAAATGACGGTAATGCTAGCAGATGAATCAATTATAACCTGTTCAAAAACTGAAAATGTAGATTTATTTTGGGCCTTAAGAGGTGCTGGTCATTCAGGGTTTGCAATATTACTCGATGTTACATTTCAACTATATCCAATAGAACCATTGTTATACTTTAATATAATTAAAATTTCACCAGAATCATTTTATGAAAACTTGGATTTAATAAACAACTTTACAAAAACAATGGATACATTAATATATATTTCAATAGATTTTAGAAAAAGCTATAGATTTCAAACAAAACAACAGGATAACAGTAATAATATAAATAAACCACAGTCACCACCACCCTATTTAGCAAAAATCACATATTTTTATAATGGTAAACCGGATGAAGGTGAAAAATACTTTTTAGAATTATTAGGTTTACTCAAAGGCAATGTTGTATGTGAAAAAACATCATATTTACAAGTTCAAAAATCACTTAATGACATTTTAAGATTATTTTTAATTGAACCAAATCAAAATAACCGTGCATTCACAAAATGTCGTATCAATAAAGACCTCACACCCGAATCAATTGATGCAATTAAAACCATTATGAAATCTGTACCACAATCAACTGATGAAATGACAGTACCCGATATCTATTCAAGCTTCAGTTGTACTTTATATTACCATGGTGGCCAAACATCCAAAGTAGATACAGATGAATCGGCCTATATCCACAGAAAAGCAAGATGGAGTGTAGTATTTATGTGTAATTATATAGAAAAGGATAACGATCAATGTTTTAACTCATGGAGAAAATTAATTGACGATCATATCAATTCGATTGGTGAACATATCTATCAAAACTATCCAGATGACCAAGTTACGAATTGGGAAAGCTCATACTATGGAATTGAACATTACAAAAAACTTCAATCTATTAAATTAAAATATGACCCAACAAACTATTTTAATTTTAATCAGTCTATTAAATTACCATAAATAATAATAAAATTTAAATAATTTTACATTCTGAAAGTTTTGGAAATATGACCGTGTGCCAAATTTTTTTTTTTTTATAATATAATTTATTTAATTTTTTAAATAACCAATTTTTAAAGATTTCAAAAAAGATCTATGGAATTATTTAACTGTTCGCAAACAAAAAAAAAAAAAAAACACCAAAGATTTTTTTTTTTTTTTTTTAATAATTTTCGAAAAGTAGTTATAGTTTTATTTTTAATTTTCTTTTTGTTCATGCTATGCTAGCGGAAATTTTTCAAAACTAAAATAATTATTTTAAAAAAAAAAAAAAAAAATTTTAGATTTTTAAAAAATTATTTTTTTTATTTCTTTTTTTTTTTTATTTTTTTATTTTTTTATTTTTTAATTTTATAATTCCTTTATTCTCTTTTCCTTTTTTTATAATTATAATTTTAAAATTTAAAATTCTTTTATAAATAAAATTAAAATATTGATATATTTAAAATTTAAAAAAAAAAACAATTATTATATTTTAATAAATAATATTTTTATGTATTGCGCGCGCATTTTATTTTCAATAATAGATAAAAAAATAATAATACTGTAAATAAATAAATAAATAAATAAATAAATAAATAAATTAATTAATTAAATATATAAAATAAAACTCATTCTTAAAATTTAATCATGGGTTCCGAAACTAAAGTTGGTATGTATTAAACAAATTTTTGAAAATAAAAATAAATTAAAAAAATAGGAGGAAATAATTTTTTACGATGATGTCATAGATATACAATTTTTTTTTTTTATATGTATAAATACTAATATCACAAATTTAATAATTATAATTTAGAAATTTCAAATGAAATAAGTAATTCAAATACAACAACTACTACAAATAATCCAAATAATGAAAATAAAACTGCATTAGGATATAATACTAAATTAGCATTATCAACTCTTGGTATTATGGGTTTCTTTTTAATTTATGGTATTCTTCAAGAACGTTTAATGGGTGTTCCATATAAAAGTCAAGACGGATCAGAAGAATATTTTACAGATTCAACTTTTCTTGTACTTTCAAATCGTGTTTTTGCAGCTTTAATGGCAGTTGTTATTGTAGTTAGAAGAGGTGAATCATTAAAGAATGTTGCTCCAATTCATAAATATTTTGGTGTTGCACTTTCAAATTTCTGCGCTACATGGTGTCAATACGAAGCCCTCAAATACGTTAATTTCCCAACCCAAACTTTAGGTAAATGTGGTAAAATGTTACCAGTTATGTTAGTTGGTACTTTTATTAGTGGTAAAAAATATGGTTTAAAAGATTATGCTATTGCTTTAACAATTACAACTGGTTGTATGATTTTCTTTTTAACTGGTGTAGGTTTTTAATTTATTATTTAAACAATAACAAAAGTATAAATATATGATTAATCATTTTGTTTTTATTATTTAGAAAATTTCAACTGGTGGCGGTGATAACACTTCATATGGTATCCTTTTAATGTGTGCTTATATGTTTTTCGATAGTTTTACCAGTACTTTCCAAGAAAAAATGTTCAAAGGTTATACTAGTAAGTTTTAGGTTATCATATTTGTTGTTATAGGGTCAATATTAACTATTTTTTTTTTTTTTTTTTTTTTTAGTGAGTACTTATGATCAAATGATTTATGTTAATGGTTGTTCATCAATTATTTCAGTTTTAATTTTAATTATTAATGGTAGATTATTCCCAGCAATGCAATTTATTTCAACTCATGATGGTGTATTTTTCGATTCAACAATGTTATCAGCATGTGCAAGTTTAGGTCAAATGGTTATTTATTTCACCATTAAAGAATTTGGTGCATTAATTTTCTCAACTATTATGGTCACTAGACAAATGGTTTCAATTGTACTTTCAACTCTTATTTACCTCCATCCATTAACTAATACCCAATGGATTGGTACTCTTTTAGTATTTGGTACCCTTTATTATAAATCAATTGAAGATAGCAAAAAGAAACATGGTCATTCTTCAAAATAAATAATTTAAAGTAAAATATAATATAATATATAGTAATAGTAATAATAATAAATATAATATTAAATATAAATTAAAATAAAATATTAATAGTACTACAAATACATTATTTAAAATTCTATAATATTTAATTTTATATAGTTATATAATGTATATTTATATAAAATTATAGTTTTATTAAACAAATAAAATAATATTTTTTTAAAACAAATATATAATTATTTTTTTTCTTCATTCTTTTTTCCTTTTATTTTTGTTGAGATTGAGGTTGTTGTTTTTTGTTATTATTATAATTTTTGATTATTAATTGAGGATGATGGTGAAAGTAATGGAATTTTTTCGTTTTCTTTATCATTATTATCATTGGATTCTATTTTTAAATATTGTGCTACACCAGTATTTAAATTGTATAGTAGGACTCCTTGAGCATTATAGATCTTTGGATACTCGATTATTACCTCATTGTTCTCTACTTGGTAATAATTATCTCCTAATTTTGGATATACTTTTTTAGAAAAGACCCCAGTAAATTTTAAATTTTTTGATTCATATTTTTTATTTAATTTTGTATAAAAATCACCAATATCATCTATTGACTATACGAATATTAAAAAAAATGAGTATACATATATTAATATTATTAAATATAATATAATTACCATTTTTGATTTTCTAAAATAAGTATAGCTGCAGCCTACCAGAGTTAAAATTGATAAAACTAATAAAAATAAACCTATTGCAATTGATCTACCAGTATTTGCAGTTGATAGAAAATATAAACCCAGACCAGTTGAAATTAAAAACAAAAGTGATTCAAATACAATCATTACTATAAAAAAATTGTTTGAAGGTGATTTGTAATTGTTTATACTAGTAATTAAATTATGATAATCAGAGAATGTGAAAAATGGCATCAGCTCATTTGGTAATAGGGTTGAAAATGAATTACCATTTTCTTTTTTTAAATAATATTTTTCTTTTAATTGTATTTGATTATCTTGGTCATTTTTATTAAATGATTTTAACATTGAGTCTTTATTACCATTATTATTATTTAAATTACTTTCTCCACCTATTAAAATGTTTTCTGTACCATCACTATTATTTATTATTCTATATGCACCTGTTTCATTATTTTGTGAGGTGTTTATTTTATCTATATTATTTATTAAACTATGATTTTTAATCATTTCTATATTATAGTTATTTCTTTTATAAATTTTTAATTAAGGGGGAAAAGGGGGGGGGGGGGACCCCCCCAAGGGGGGTGCTATCAAAATTCCCCCCCCTTTTTTTTTTTTTGGGTTTTTAAGGGGGGGGGTAATAATTTAAAAAAAAAAAAAAAAAAATTTGGTTTGTTTTTTTTTTCTTTTTTTTTCCAATAAAATTTAATATAATATTAATTATTTTTATTAATTAAACAAAATATAAAAACTGTAAAAAACTAGTATCCCAATGAGCAAATAATTATATAGTTGTGTGGGGTTGCAATTAATGTAAAAAATAGAGATCTGGGTGTTGTCTTTAATGGTGTCAAAATAAAAAAAAATAAAAAAAAATAATGTAGATCTGAATTTAAAATAAAATAAACAAATATAAAAAACCATTTATATGTTATAATTAAAATACTAGAATGATATATAAAAAATGAAAATAATAACCAAATAAAAATGAATAAATAAAAAAAAAAATATAGATTAAAAAAATTGGTGAAAAATGGTGAAAAAAAAAAAAAAAAAAAAAATAATAATAATGTTATTTATTTTATTAGTAAAAATAAATAATTCCGATATATTTATCATTAGTACCAGTTTTATTAGATTGTAAAAGAAAGGGAAAAATGGTTAATATTTTATTTATTTTATTGTTTGTAATTATTATTTTATTTTATTTGGTTTTTTTTTTATACTAAATGTGTAAAAGGACTATTAGCTAATGATGTGTTACCGACAATATCAAAGCTAGTATTTCCACCAATTATGCTATTAGCCCCATCGATATCTAAAGCTGTCATGCTTTTTGAAGAATTTGTTATATGTGGAATACTTGGATATTGGATCTCTATTTGGGATAACTCTACACAGGTATTTGAAATAAATATACTTAAAACTATTGAAGCAATTGAAAGCTTAAATGTTTTATGAAAAATAGGTACAAATGTGATGCTGAATTGCTTTTCGAAAGTTTCATTTATTCCTAGAAATAATATATCTATATCGTGTATATACTTTTTTTGTATACAAATAAATTTATTATTAATGTAGAGAGAGAGAGAGAATAAGTATTATTATAATATTATTATTTTTTATTAAAATTACATACTCTTTTAAATTTATAGAATGTTAATGTTTTAATTATAATATAAAATAATACTATTAAAGAAAAATATAAAACACAAAAATGAATAAAATAGAGTGGGTCTTTTAAACTAAAATAAACTAACTGAATAATGAATGAAACAATTGTTAAGGATGATATAAATATTGATAGGTTGAATTTTATTAATGAATTTGATTTAAAGCTATTAATATTTGAAATTGCACTATGATATTCCAATTTATCAATATAACCCTCCAACTGATTTGGAAAATAATAATTTTCAAATCTATCTCTAATTATATCTTTTCTTAATACTAATGTGTTTTTAAATTTTATATTATTAAAATTTATATTATGGTTTTTATTAATATTATTATTACTGTAACTATTGCTATTATTATTATCGATATAGTTATTATTACTATCTTTTTTTAATATTTGTTCTGATTCCTGTTCTATCATTTTTAACTAACACATATAAAAACTATATATATAAATAATTAAGAGGTAAAAATGTAAATAGGTGAATAGGTGTTTAGGTAAATAAATAAATATTAAATATAATAAATAAACACTGATATAAATTAATTAAAAAAAAATTAAAAATAAAAAAATAAAATAAAAATAAAAAAAAATTAAATTAAATTAAATTAAAATAAAAAAAAAAAAATTAAATTTTCTGACTAAATTATGCATCATTTCATAATTCATGATTCCATTGAAAATATCGTTGCACCATATTATATAATTTTTATTATATTTTTTGTTCCATAAAAATTATTATTCCCCAAATTAGTTGTCCATTGTGATTAAAAATTATTTCTCATATTAATTTTTTTAAAAATTTTCGAAAAATTAAAAAAAAAACGCCACTGGGAAATTATTTTTTTTTTTTTTTTTGAAATTTTAGACCTCCATGATGCGATCTATTTATTTTTAAAAATTGTTTTTTATTTATAATTATTTTTTTTATTTTTAGAAGATTCGTTTTGAAAACAGAGTCCTAAATTTTTAGAC